CCTTCGGGCCATGCTCGTGACGCCCCCCTGAGCGCTGGAACAGACCCAGATCCTAGGTGCTTGACCCACACACACCCGCCCCCCCCCTTACCCCCTCTGGCCTCCCTTGTATCTCCGCTGGGGTACCCCCATATACTTTTCCTTCTGATCCAACCCAGTCATCCTTCTCCCCGTGTCCCTTACCTTTTGCTAAGCTCATACATACTCCTGCATAAGTGCCTTTGCATGCAGGGAAATGCTCCTCTGGTGCCTTATCTCTCGATATTTGTTGTACCGATACACGAAGCCCCACAGTGTCAACAGTGTAATTTTAACCTGACTACATTTTTTACACCACCTGTGCTCCTACTATACATCTCATCGTCTAGATGACACTAGGACGGCAGTAATAGCAGATTGACCAATGTATCCATTGAGCCAAACCACTACCCTGTAACTGTAATGTGCACATTGTACTGTAAGCTTGTATTTGTGTTTCTCTACACCCCTGATTTCCTCAGGAGATGTTGTAATGATGCTGGGGTGACCGCCCCCCTGTACCGTTTGTACTAAGCATTTGTCAAATAAAGTTGACTTCTGATTTTAAAAAAAACAAAACATATTCTTACACATTTTCCCAAACCATCATCAGGTTTTTCTGTTACATTTTCTTATGTACCCCTGCATCACAACACATTCATCACGTTCCCCTGGTAGGTGTCACAAGCACCCCCATGTACTTCCCATACCTTTTAAAAAGATACATTAGTAACTTGAAAGAGTGGTTACACATGAAAAAATAATGTCAAAGTGTCGGGGCATTTTAGATAAACAGTAAAATATGGGAAAAGTGGAATGCATATAACGTTAACGTATCTATATAAAATTGAGAAGTTTACTGTAAGTGACCAAGTTAAAAGAAAAGAGCATAATTGAATGTATTTAATCTGGTTTCTAGACATTGATGTATGTTTTTATAATATAGTGAAAAATTGTGTTTTTTTTCTGTTTTGTTTTTGTAAGTTTTATTTGTTTTTGTTGATCTGTTTTGATTGGGGATATATGTGATATACGTTTGTATATTTTAAAATAGGATATTAAAAAATATTCAAGTTAAAAGATACATCAGTGCTTTCTAAACAATGCTTCCTTGATGGCAAAAATCAAAATCCAGACCGTAACAGTGATAAACAAATTTAAATCCCTTACCTTAAAACAACGCTATTCGCTGTGCAGGAATTTACCATCTGTGAGGCTTTCAATGGACGTGAACTCCTGAGTAGATTAAACAAAATGATAATAGTAAGTCAGCATGAAACAGATTAAATCAAAATCAGAGCAAGAAGAAGATTTGAACAGAGATGCATTATTTAATATGGTGATTGAAATTTGTTGTAAATACGTTTAATGTGCTGCATAGTAGTAAGTGCAGAATACAGGTGGGGGGACAAGCAGCCTTGACCCCGTCTGTATGCTCCAGAGAAGATTGCTGTGCGTGGTCTTTGTGCATCTGATTGACCTGCCCCCCTCACCGCAGTCAGACTGACCAGCCATTAGGGTGAACGCCCCCTAGTGGTACTGGAGCAAGTGCAATCTTTCTCCTGAGTCCCCGCAGTCGCTGAGGTTTTCCAGTGACAGGAGAATGAGCACACTGTGCACGTGTGGGGGGGGGGCTCAGAGGAAGGACAGCGTGGACTCCTGTACCACTAGGGGGCACTTGTCCTAACAGCTGGTCTGTGCTAGAACATCAACTGGGTGAAGCTTTCAAAAGGGTTAGTATTTTTTGGGGGGCAGACTTTACTCCTTGTACAAACAGCCTACAGGTATATAAGGAGCATAAATGCATGCTTGTAACATCTGATTAGTTGAAGGTTATGGAATGGTGATGAGGGACTGCATAGGATACTTTTCTATAAAGGTGAACTAACCCTTTAATGAAATACGTTTTCATCCTTATGCTATGCTTTATATTTATTCTTGTAACCTTAATGAAGGGGGGAGTGGTGTAGCTCCTGAAACACATTGGCTGTTTTTATGACTTATTACCAACAATTCAAATGATCTTGGACTCTGGTTGCTCCTTTCTGTAATTCCATGGTTTGAGCTACTGTTGGGTAGTAATTGAGGGAAGATGCCTTGCCAGAGCTATTGAGCTTGAAGTTCTGACTGCTTGTACAAGAGTGAAATAATTCCCCAGCACCTCTCTAAATATGTTGTTTGGGATTCATTGGGAGTGTGTCAGACCACTGCAGAGAAACCACTGTTCTCACAGAGCGTACAGTGGTCATCTTCTGCGGCACACTAGCAGGAACAGGCTGATTTAGTACCAGCGTTGACAGTGTTTTGTTCACTTCTGAACCACTTCACTTGCCATACAAGCCCATGGGGGATACAAAAGCAGGTCAAATGCGCCTGGCAATGAATGCTGTCAGAAGTGTCTCAAGTGGATTTCAAAAGCACGCTGCATTTGCCCACGGAAGCACGCTACATTTGCCCACGGAAGCACGCTGCATTTGCCCACGGAAGCACGCTGCATTTGCCCACGGAAGCACGCTGCATTTGCCCACAGAAGCACGCTGCATTTGCCCACAGAAGCACGCTGCATTTGCCCACGGAAGCATGCTGCATTTGCCCACGGAAGCACGCTGCATTTGCCCATGGAAGCACGCTGCAACAGGCCCTTACGGGGAACAAGGAAGGAGGGAATTCATACACATACCATTTTGCAGCACATTAAAAGTGTTTACAGCATTTCCTTAAAAATTGCAATTGGGCTTTTAATTCTTAAGACAGGGTGTGTGTATATAAAATACATTGGAGCATACTTACGTTACAGTCTGTATGTTACAGCTCAGGGACAGCGGTGGCCGTGTGCACTCTGTACAATGTGATAATAGGGTAAGATATCGCGGGATGATCACTTGCTGGCCAACCTTGTTATTAAGTGATAGGGTCACATTGAAACTGTAACGCTTCAGGTGAAGAATCAAAACCCTGCAAAAATGTAAGCATGACATCAGGTAACAATGCAATACTGTCAAAGACTAGTTCAAACCTACAACTGATAGTTTGGCTCCGGAGGAGCATTGGTGTAGGGTTAGTTCACACCATAAGCAGTGCGTTCCGGTCCGATTCTGGCCGGAACGCACTGCATTGCAGCCGGCTCACCTTTTTGCCAGGCTGTAGCAGGCCATTGAAGTGAATGGCACCGTAGCCACGCCCGCAATGCGATCGTAAGGCACATTGTGCCTGCAGTGCGGTCCGGTGCGATCAAAATAGTGCTTGCAGCATTTTGATTATGCCTGCAGTGCGGTCCGGTGCAATGTGCCTTGCGATAGCGTGCGGGCGATCGCATTGCAGCCGGAGGGCGTGGCTACGGTGCCATTCACTTCAATGGCCCGCCACACCCCCTCCAGCCTGGCGATGCAGTGCGTTCCGGCCAGAATCGGACCGGAACGTACTGCTTATGGTGTGAGCTAACCCTAAAAGAGCACTCAGCCCTGATGCAAGCAGTGGGCAGGCTGCTGGGATCGCTGGCCAGAATGAGCGAAGCGCACTTTCACTATCAATTCCCCACAGGCGGGGTGCATTTGGTATCACTCCGCCTGTGACAGGAGCCGGCGCTATAGAGGAGACATCGGCTTATGCGGCTCTGCTCCCTCAGCTGCCGCTTTGCTTCCTCTACCACTGGCTTCGTTGGCACCGCTTATTCTTTCCTGCCTCTCCCGTGGCTATTCAAGTTCCCCCTTATGCCACCACCGACCCTGGGAATGGTCACAACTAGGTCTTATTTTCGGAGTAGGTCTTATATTTTAGCAATTCCCAAAAATAGTACTAGGTCTTATTTTCGGGGAAACAGGGTAGTACTAAAACTGGAAGAGGCAGCACTGTAAACCAATCAGACTTTGTGGCACTGCATCATCGTTCTGGAATACTGAGAGCTTCCTGAGTGAAGGAGACAGCAAAGTGTCAATCTCATCAGTTTCCTGCTGCTCTTTTATTGTTCAAGCTCAAGCAGGATGTGTCGTAGTCCAGACCGCATTACAGTATAGTTTTGTAGATAGGTCTTAGGGAACGCAGTATCTTGCTGTGCCGTCTAGCAAGGTGCACAGATAACAGAAAGGGCTGAACAAAAATTTGCCAATTTGTTATTAGAAGTAAAAACATCTGCTGATCAATCTGGAAAAAACGTATAAAGTGATAAATGACTTACTTGGGCAACCTGCTGAACTTGTGTATTACAGTTGCAGACTTTCCATTACACTTTTCACAAGAATATTCGAGATCTTCCATCTGTGAGGTACAATATTGTAAAATTTTAGAAAATACATACAAAATGGTGAACATATTTGAGGTGGTATTGGGAAATTATCAATAGAGCAGCTTCTGTGACATATAGCCAAATGCTTTTACCACTTTACAGAAGAACTCCAGGAAAACAATATATTTTTGGGAACGCCACAAGCCAAATAAAATACCTCTAATGATGACTATGCTAGGTCCAGATCGCTGTACAAAATCATAGCTTCATTGATGCTGAATACTAGACACCTCCCTTTTCTTCAGGAACTATGACTGGGCTTTCCAGAACTTGTAGTGAATGGACTCTGTGGTTCCCCCCTCCCTTTCCTCTCTTTGTCCATTACACAAAATATTGTGGGGGGAATTTATCAAAACTGGAGCAGACAGAATCTTGAGCAGTTGCTCATCGCAACCAAATCAGCATCTCTCCAGTTTGCCCAGGTAAGATTTAAAAATGAGACAGAGATGCTGATTGGTTGCAGTGCAAATCTGCTCTAGTTTTGATAAATCCCCCCGTGTATTCTGTTCACAGAATGGAAGGCGTTATGTGAATGGACAAGAGTACATCTTGTTTACCTGCTCCTCCTCTTCTCTTGTGTATTCACAGAACACCTTGCATTTAAATTACCTAAATACTTTTCTGATACATCAAAACAAAAAAAGGTGTGCAAAGTCCGAGTCCTTGTTCACACCAAATGCAGACCAGATCTGCATGAGTCTCCGCACACGCAGTGCAGTGTGTTATACCGCCTTTTTTGGCGAGTTTTTGATGCGTTCCGGGCCATTTTTGGTTAAAAAAACAACAAAATGTGTATTTTTTTTTTTGGTTTAAAATGGGCTTTGTGTGTTCCAGGGCATTTGCATGCGTTTTTGATGTGTTTGCATGCGTTCCAGAGCAGGTAAAATAGGGCTGGCTGTAGTTTTTTTTACATGCTTGGAACTGAACACTGCGGTGTGAACTAGAGCCCAAAATACTATTGAAATACATTGGGCGCAGTTTTGATCCAGTCTGTAACAGATCTGCTCTGCTCCTGAAACGCGCTTGGTGTGAACAAGCCCTTATAGATTCTGCTCTTTAAAAAGCAGCGAGTCACAGTTTGAGTAGAAAAGTTTGACCCCGACTAGCATGCTGCAGAGAAGGACCCTTGCTCTCGGTATGGAAGCAGTGGTCTTTTTGCATAGGTTCAGCACACCTCCTGCTGAGTAAGAGCTAAAGCTTTCCAATCAGTACAGCTTCTACTTCCAGCACCAAGATGGATTTAGCCGATAAAAAACAGAAAGTTCCTTTGGGCTTTAAATCAAATATGAATGTAAATATACTTCTGAAAACATACCCTAAAAAAGAGATCTAGGGAATCCTGTATGGACCTTGAGGCTAATAACTTTTTCCGTCGTGGTAGGTCAATGGAGAGATCATTGAACTGTTCCCGTTTTATTACAATTTCACCGCACCTGCAATTCAAAAACATAATTAACTTAAACCCGAAAGATAAGTATTATCACCAGGGACCCAATAAAACATCTATTTTAAGGTTTTTTTGGTGTGTGAAATAACAAATTCACTCTGTTCAAGCCAGAAGAAGGTGGATTCTGATTAGGTGCTATGAGTTACGGCACTTAAAAAGGAGAACTATGAGGTGAGTGAAAATCACAACCTCATAGTTCGAGCCGACGTGTGACAATTAAACGGTCACACGTCGGCTCAATAGATTAGGAAGTGAGCGAACACATACCGTCGCTCGCTCACTTCTCGATCATCTCCCTGCAGAGAGCGATGACTGTCAGTCACGGCTCCCCCCCTCCCCAATCCTCCAGCGCTGACTGGAGGAACGGACAGGGGCGGGTACAGCTGGCTCTGCCTCCAGAAAGCCAGTGCAAGCTGTCACTCACGCAGCTGGGTGGATCTCGACAGTAATGTCAGGATCCGTCCCGGCTGCGGTGGTCTCAGAATACCGTGAGCTGTAGCTCGCGATATACTGAGCTTTGGGTCACTGGAGGACGCTAGTATATGTCCTCCTGTGACCCTTGAGAACTATGGGGAAAAACACTTACCGCATAGTTCTCTTTTCATATTGATAGCCCTATTGGACAATGCTTAAGAAGATTTCTTTTCACATTAGGCAACAGCTGTTAGTCGCTGCTGAAATAGATAGTGACTGTGGATCGTGCCATAAAAGATTATGCTCTGGAATGATCGAAGAGCAGGCATCAGAAGGTGTTTGAAGTACTTTGAAAGTTACAAATTGTTGGTTAGGCTTTCATTTCTGATGCCATGCCAAGTATACATACTGTAGGCGAAGCCATACCCTCCAACATTCAATTAAATATCAAATGAGGCTCCAATATCGGATTAACAGTAGAAGAGGCTGAGGCTTAAGCCAGTCAGAAAAGTCCATCTCTAAAGTATATAGGTAGCTTTGAAAGGGAATTCGTCACATTATATTTTTGAGAGTAGGGTAATCAGCTTGTACCACATATTGTTCTGAATGGGTTTTAAAAGTCATGCTTCTGTTTTTAGTATTGAATATGTACATGGGGGGGGGGGATGGGGAATCTGCAGTGTATGCCTATAAAGGCTCGGACCACAATGTAGCGCACGTGATAATGTATACCAGCATGCATTATGTACATGCAAACTCCTAAATGCTAGTATGAGTGCAACAACAAAAAAATGTGTACTGGTTTGGAATAATTTGTACTGGTTTGGAATGGTTTTGAGTGTACTGGTTTGGAATAATTTGTGCGTACATTTTACAGCTGATGGAGTGCTGAGCCTCAAATTCAAAATTGTTAATGACTGGACAGGTGTAGACACGGGTTGCAGCGACGTCTTCAGTGGCTTTGACTGCAGAGGCGTCATCTCCCGAGGACAGTTCTGACTTCCAGGTTTTGTTCAGCTTCCCCATGTCTTCTTTCAGCTGATCAAGGCACTGGCTCAAAAATTCATGGGCATCCTACAATGATACAACTCATGATGTGAAGCTGACCTCCAGACAAAGAGATAAATGCACAGAAGCACACATACTGTATATGGTATCTGTTTCACCTGCCAAAGGACCTGGCTGGCACAGTGAAAGGAGAAGCAGCAGACTGATGAGCTGAACTCCATCACTCTGCTTTCCCTGTCACTTTGTACCAACATAAGCATTGGAACACCGCTGACTGGCTCCTTGTGTTGCTTCTCCTTCCCGTTCTAAGCTTTGTGCTACAGGGGACTGCAAGAAGCTATTATTCAAATTAAATGGATTACACTGTTTGCATTTGAAAATATGGCATGTATTATTGAATATAGAGCTGCATTCATTTAGGTCTGCCTGGAGTTAAGTTTTAAGCGACCCTTCCGAGCTACACCTCCTTTTCCCTCAGCCTTTGTTGCACAACATGATTGAAAATGAGTGAGGCCTAAACATTTTTCTAGCAGCAAATTAACCAGCCAAGAGGGAATTACTAAGCTGTAGAGCAAATATAATATTCCGTAAGCTGCAATAATAGGCTATTCTCTCACTACTAAGGCACTGCCTATGTGACAGTAGTCAAGTTTGTGAACGTCCTTACCTACTCCTGGTCTATACATCACCAATAAACCAATGAATGATGACATATATTAAGCACTGGCATGCAAAGTGAAAAAAAACTGACAAGTCAGTGTGCACATAATGTCACCTAACCATAGTAACGTTTTCTTATTACTTTGCTGCGATTTCCATTTTTCAGTCTCTGGGCAGGGGTAGGCAACCTCAGCACTCCAGCTGTGGTGAAAATACAATCCCATCAGGCCTTTGCTTCTTGGAATCATGCATATGGCTGGGAGTCTTGCAATGCCTTATGACATTTGTAGGGTCACCACAGGGCAGTATGAATCCAACAAATGTTCTAACCCTTCCCCACTGTAAAGGTTTTGATTGGCATTCCTCTGCAACCGCATAAATTTACCTGAAGCAGCAGCGAATTATGAAAAAAGGGGCAAACTAATAACTTGCCTTAGGTCTTTGATAGAAAATGCTTGCTGAATTGCAAAATAACTTCACATTACAAGTCACATATACTGTATAAAGCTGGTTACTTACATTCTGCATGTAGCCTGAAAATCTCTCGGCTGTGGCAGAGATGGCACTCTTGACTTTCTTCAACAGATCTTTCTTCATTTCCGCACTGCAGACGTCCTTTTTGGCCAGCAGAAAGGCGAAGCGTCTGCAACATGATACAGCAAACTTTAAAGCTAAACACTGGGATTAAAAACAAAATGCCCTTACAGTAGCCTACTGCCCACCCCATAAACTGTTATACATAAACTTCCACAACGTTGGGTGACCAGTCCCCTGAAGCCTCTTCTCTCAGGCAGGAAGTTGAACTCCGACATCCTTACATACAGAACAGGAACAGCAGTCCTGAATTATTCCTCTACCCCTAAACTTAATGAGTAGTTAACCCTTGCAGTGCAGATGGAGCAGCTAACAGAGTACCACAGTGTAAACTATATGTGGTGCCTTCAACAAGAATTATCCTGCAGAAGCAGAACCATACCTGATTAAAGCATTCATTGGGATCCTCTTGTATGGAATACCTTGCTTGAGCAGATCATTGGCAAATGGCTGCAGAGAAAACAGGGACTGCAGGATGGCATTCATGTAACAGGTGTTCCCCAGGTTGGAAAAACTGTGGAGAGCAATTAATATAAGTGATTACCTTGGTAAACCATGTACTGACAAGCTACAGCACAACTACCCCACGTGGTATCAATGATAAAGACTTTATCACTAACAGTGCAAAATACAATGGTTATACTGAAAAGATCACTATCCCATAGTAAATTATACAGGTTATACTGTTTTCACGCCACTAAACTGAAATTTGATGGACTGGTTAATAAACTTAATGGTTCATGAAGTCAATGTTATTTGCCCTGTTGTATCCATGCTTCAGGATATTTCAATCATTAGAAGCTCCAGGAACTATAGCCAACGTTTCTATGCATTTTTTACAATGTCAATTTGCCCATTTAAAAAAAAACAGTATCCCGATAGCTCACCGGCCCCCCATTGGTTGACATGAAAGGGCGAACAGTTTCCAGCACCAAGAGGATGTCCATGTGCAAATTTACAGAAATATGTTAAGATCTAAAAATTGCACACCAGACCGGAATCCCACTTTGAATATTTCGTTGGATGCCGAAAATGTCCTGCGTATGGCGCCGCGTAAATCAAGGTGTAGAATAGTAAGCCACTAGCACACCAGAGGCCTACTTTATCAAATCGGCTTTATACGACATCAGATAAACATGGCATCCAGTGTGCTGGTGACCCTTCTACACAAATTGACAGAATTACTTCACCGACATCTACCCTTAATCGTATCCTTTTTACAACCCTCATACACAGTTGGATAGGCAGCTTCAGGGGTGAAATGTCAAGGTTCCTCCAGCAACGTATGCTCACCGATCTGCCTTCCTTGGCTGTTTACATGCTCTATCAGGGCAAGGCTTGTAGGTATAGGGGAGCATTTGACCATGTCTGTGTGGATAACATCCAGCTGAATGTGGTGCAACAAACTCAGACACTGGATCTTACACACAGGGAACTCTTGCAATTGAGAGGTGAGGGAGCTTGAATCGGCAAGTATACGTTTCTGGGGGTAGTGGTCTTTCAGGAGACATTGTCACTGTTTTTCCTCAAAGTCTCTATAAACTTGCAATTCAGTGTCAGATTCAGTGCAGGTATAGCCATCGATAGACCTGCTGATGTACGATGCAACCCGATATACTGATGACAGACAGAACTCTACATACCCTTGTAGTTGTTGAGGCTGGGGGTGGTTGGAGAGAACCCGTGGTTTGTTCCATCCTGTGTAGTCCTGATTGGGTCGCAGTTTCTTCACAGACAGAGGGCTGGGCTGAGAAGGGAGGACTAAGCTTCTCTTAGCGGAAGGCTGGCCACATCCAGATGTCCTGAAAGAGGAGTGGGAGAGACTGCTGCTAAAACTTAGAAGAAAAAACCCTGGAAAACATCCTTCTGCCCACGCACTATATCAATATAATTTACGTCGCTAAACACAGCTGTTTGTTGTTCAAACAGTCTCCCCATCTGCACTTGTTTTATTTCATGGACAGAAAGTGAGATTCCAAAGCTCCTGCTTGTAAATAGCAAAGTAAGCCTTTTTTTTTTCTCCAGATGCTCTACTGAATGAGGCTTTATTAATGCAATGCTCTCTATCCTGAGCCCGCATCCTCCACATCTACTACTCTGTTCATAAGAAGAAATATTCCCCAGGATTAAGTAATGGGACAGCCAACCACAAGTCCTTCCCTCTAGCCTTATAGGAACACCACCCATGTAAAGCCTATTAACAGAGGCTCTAACACCATTGTCTGCCCCTTGTCCAGTAATAGGCAATGACAGTCATCCAGGAGTCCTCCCTTCTAGCTTTATAGTCACACCACCCATGCTAGGCTATCAATATTGACAGAGGATCTCATAAAAAGTAACATCTGCCCTTTATCTACATTATGTCACTTGTATTGTCCATTAAATAAAAGTTAACTTGCAATATAGGTGGCACAATCAGATTTCTACCTACCAAAATCCCTTTATGCTCTGCCAGTATCCACTAATTCCCCTGCTGCTCCATTAAAGTGTCTCCACCATAGCAGTTTCTATAATGACACATTCCCTAACTCCTGCATATTCTTTAAACAAATGGTGTCATACGCAGCTCATCAGAAATTCAAGGCTTCCCCCTGGCCCCCCATTGGTTGACATGAAAGGGAGAATAGTTTCCAGCACCAAGATGATGTCCGTGTGCAAATTTACAGAAATATGTTACGATCTAAAAATCGCACACCAGACCGGAATCCCACTTTGAATATTTCATTGGATTCCAAAATGTCCTGCGGATGGCGCCACGTAATTCAAGGTGTAGAAGAGTAAGCCACTAGCACACCAGAGGCCCACTTTATCAAATCGGCTTTATACGACATCAGATAAACATGGCATCCAGTGTGCTGGTGACCCTTCTACACAAATTGACAGAATGACTTCACCGACATCTACCCTTAAAAGGAGAACTATGGGGTCAGTGTTTTTCCCCATAGTTCTCCTTGGGGTAACGGGAGGACACAAACTAGCGTCCTCCCGTTACCCTAAGCTCAGTATACCGCGAGCTACAGCTCGCGGTATACTGAGACGCCGCACCTGGAGCGGATCCCGACTTAGATGACGGGATCTGCCCAGCTGCGTGAGTGACAGCTGGCTCTGCCTATCTAGAGGCAGAGCCAGCTGTACCCGCCCCCTCCCCCGTTCGTTCCGCCAGTCAGCGCTGGCAGATCGGAGCGGGGAGAGGGGAATCCAGCCCCTCCCCCTGTCACGGCAGAGAGCCGTGACAGGATCGAGAGGTGAGGGAACCCGGTATGTGTTCTCTCACCTCCCGATCTACTGAGCCGACCTGTGACAGTCTCATTGTCACAGGTCGGCTTAGAACTATGAGGTGAGTGGGAATCACTCATCTCATAGTTCTCCTTTAAATCGTATCCTTTTTACAACTCTCATACACAGTTGGATAGGCAGCTTTAGGGGTAAAAGGTCAAGGTTTTGAAAAACAGTCTTATCGCTAAAGTGATGGAACCATACCTGTCTGAATTGCCTGTGGAATAATCCTTTGAAGACAACCTGCTGCTGTAAAATGATGAAGACTGCAATGGCATTAATCCTGAAAGAGATCATTTAGTCTACATTAGAATCTCAGTTCTTATTCTGACAATCGTCTATATACTAAGGAGGACAACTATCAAACATCGCAGTTAATGAAAGGCACTTCCAGATGTCTTAAATGGAGTGTTTAGACAATAGGACTTTAGAGCGCAGGTTTTAATGGATCAATTCCAGAAAAGTTCTGTTACCTCAAGAGGAGGCAAAACTGGCTGACACTTAGGTACAAATTAAAAGGAAACTCAGACTTAAGTTTTATTTTTTTCCTTTATAAAGCTATATGTGAATGCGGTAACCCTGATGTATAACATTTTACTGTGATGTCTTCCAGAGCTTATTAGAGGTCTGCTGGAGCTTGTTAAAGCTACAGGTAGTACTTCTGTTATGGTCTTTTTCAATGCCTTATTAACCACTTCCCGCGGGTTCACGGAACTGTACGTTATCCGCAGGAAATGGTTATAGCAAGAACATGGCTACTGCTGTCATGCTCTTGGTACTGTTTTGAACAGCAGGCGATTGCTGTTTAAATACAAGCGGTCCGGCATCTGTACAGGCGCTGGATCGCTTGTACGTTACAGTGCCGTACATGTTTGTTATCTATATACCTGGCGTGACCCCGTCTTTTATATTTTACCAAAAAATTGGGCATTATATTATGTTTCTGTGCACTAAATTTTATTTGAGTGTATTTTATCAGAAAAATACTTGTTTGACAAACATTTGCGCAAATACTGTGCAACATAGAAAATTGCAACTAGCATCTTTTTATTCTACAGGGCCTCTGCTTTCAGAAAATATATAATTGTTTGGGGGTTTGATGCTGTTTTCTAGCCCAAAATTCAGATTTTATCATGTGTGTGCTAAGGTAAGAAATTGCTCCGGGCAGCAAGTGGTTAAAGCTTACTGAACAAGATAAGTTTATCAGACTAGTGACATAAGCAATGATTCAAACATCCCACGTGTACACCGTTTTAAGAAGCACACAATATTACAATACAGCTCTAAGATTCCCCCGCTCCAATGTGTAAGTAAAACAAAAGGCATGTAAAGCTGCAATACTGTACCTGGCCGATTTTCTTCCGTCTGCTTCAGGTTCAGCTGTTTCTCACGGCTGCTATTTAGGAACTTGCGTCCGGGATCTGTTAAGGCCTTATTGGTGCTGCGAAGATTCACAGATTGGGAAGCATAAAGTTAAGATAAAGTAAGATCATACACTTGTCATGCCATTAAAACCGCATTCATCGCAAACAAAGCAAGCTTGCCAAAATCATATGAGCCCAGAGAATAACCATGCAAACAATCTTTTTTCGGTGTGGACAGCGTGCCATATAAAACCCCGTGCAGTTAAGTCACACAAGCCTGAAAATGCAGACTTATAGAAACATGAATGGAGACAGTGATATGTAATAATGTTTAGCAATGTAACCCATTACCGGTGGTCAAGCACATGAAATGGGGACAACCAAAAGACAGCTGCGCTGACTACTACCCATAGCAACCAACTTTTCCTTTATGTGTTTGAAAATGACAACAGGTCAGCACGCAAAGTAAAAAATGCAAAAGCATTTACAACACCTTTTATTCGAATGTGAAAAACATACAAGAAAAAGCACCAAGTCTACTAAAATCGGTTATGTGTGCCTGCAAACCTCCATCCTTTCAGGAGCATTGACTGATGGCAGACTCTTTCTGAGACTGTAATCCATGACTTACCACACGTTCAGTTCCAAACACCACATTACCTAAAATATCTCTATAATACTATTTAGACACTCAGTTGATCAGCATCAGAGGACTGGACTGACATGCAGGTAGATATCTGACCAAAAGACAAACAGGCTCAGAGATCGAACTATGCTTCATTTGATCTTTTCCAAAATACATATGTTTGTTAATGGGAACGTTTAATCCAAACTGAGCGAATAAACCTGGGTATATTATTGGTTGCCATGGGCAACAGTCTCCCTTTCATGCACCCATGAAGTACAATGTGTCTCTAGCAATAAGGAAAAACGTGCAACACGCTCAAGCCAGACCAAACTTTTCTGCATCCTGTGAACCCAATACCAAGGTTTACCCATTTACTAAGTGGTCTAAAGTAACAAATGATCAAAAAATAAATAAAATATGGAAACAATAAGATAAAATGTCCAGTCCAGTTATCAAGTCACAGCAAAAGTTAAAGCTTCAGGCAAACCTAGCATGGACTGAAAGTCAACAAAACGTTGAACAGGAATAACGCTCGCCCCCATGGCTGACTGAGAAATCAAAGGATTTATGACCAACTTTACTGGTGATGCCAAGTTACGGAAATCTTTATATACATAAAGAAAAAAAAAAAAAGAAGCTTAATTCTAAAAACTATGAAAAAGTAGAGAGGAAAGTATTGCCCATGACACTTAAAATGTTTGCATTTAAAACATCTGGGCTTTTGGTTAGGTCACAATAAAGCTATACTGTAGTATTCTAAATCAAAAATGTATCATTTTCTAACCAGCAAGAACAAAAATTAAGCAATTTGAGTTTTGAGTGATGGCCCCTCTGTTTGGCCTTCCTTTAAACCAAGTTCACAAAAAAAAAAATTACCCCAAACGTCAAAATAGACCAGAGACAATGCATGAAACCACCGAATCACAGACGGCAATCTGAAGATGATAAAATGTACCCACATTATTCATGAACCTTAGCTGTGAGGTTGAGCTTGACAAATGGAGTTGAAATATTTTTTTTTTAGCAAAGTAGATTAGGAGGGGGAAGAAAAAAAAAAAAACAACCCAGAAGCCAAGCAAATCAAAAGTCACAATGCCAAGCAACCCTAAACCCAACTGGTTATCGTGAAGGCTCTACATACGTCGATGAATCATTCTCTTTAGGATAATCTTCTATGTCAGAGCCCGGAGACTGTATTCTCTTCCTTTTTTCACTCCTACGAGTGAAACACACAGGTACAAATTGACTTGGGTTGATCCCGAGTCACCTATATGCAGCAGACACCCCCCCCACCTTAAGTGTAGGGGCAACAAATCACCATAATGCATGTATTGTTGATAGAGAAACAAGTACAATTTAACCATCCTCTGCAATTATAAACCATAAACAGGATAGAGATGTGTAAAAATATTCTGCAGATGTCATGATTTAAATAACTGTTAAAGAAACAAAAAAAACAAACAATGAATACAATTCTACAGGAGACCGGCCAAGTCACGGCTTTCATTTAAAATATTGCAGAGAAAATTCGGAGTCTTTGAGGCAATTCATAAGCTTTAAAAAGGGAAAGTATAACGTTTAAATGAATGCCATTTATTTTTTGTGAATTTGCAAGAGCCAACAAATTTTGTACAGGGTTACTTCAATGTGATCTCTCTCTCATGTATACACTGAGTGGCCAGATTATTATGACCACCCCATCAGTACTTCGTTGGGCCACCTTTTGCCTTCAATACTGCGGCGATTCTTCTTGGCATTGACTCCATGAGATGTTGAAAGGTGACGCGAGGACTCTGACACCATGCCTGGTGAATAGCACTGTCCAGTTCTGTGAGATTTGATGGTTGTGGAACCAACTGCCTGATGGCTCTTTCAACTTCGTCCCACAAATGCTGCAATTGGATTGAGATCTGGTGATTGTGGGGGCCACTTAAGCAAGAGAAAGTCTCCCTCATGTTCTTGAAACCACTCCTGCACAATATGAGCACAGTGGCATGGCGCATTGTCTTGTTGGAAGAAGCCATCTCTATTGGGATACGCCATCAACATGATAGGATGAACTTGATCAGCAACGATACTTTGGTATGTTGTGCTAGTCACACGTTGTTCTACACGAATTAAAGGGCCCAAATCATGCCAGGAAAACATGCCCCAAACCATAATCCTACCCCCACCAGCTTGAAGGGTTGTACTCATGCATGTGGGGTGCATGCTTTCATGCTGTTCCTCACTCTGCCATCTGCATGATGCAACTGGAAACATGATTCATCGGACCACATGACTTTTTTCCAATGCTCGACTGTCCAATCCTTGTGTTCCTGTGCGAATTGGAGACGTTTTATCTTGTTAACTGCAGACAGCAAAGGTGGTCGAACAGGCCTCCGGCTTCCATATCCCATACGATGCAGTATACGGCGAACAGTGCGTTCAGAGATCATTTGAGAGGATCCCTGATTAAAATCTGCAGTAATTTGATGCACTGTTGCCCTTCTGTTGTCTTGTACCAGTCTTGCCACTCTCCGTTCTGCCCTAACATTGACTAGTCGCTGACGGCCACAATTCGCACAATCAGACCCAGATTTTCGGCTGACAGTCCGGTCTTTAAACACTTTAAAAACAGCTGCTCTGGAACATTTTAACAAATTCTGCTGTTTTGCTGATACTCGCTCCATGGCTCCGAACGCCAACAATCATTCCACGTTCAAAGGCTGTTACATCGCGTTGTTTCCCCGTATCTTCAGAAACAAATCACTTCTACTGTCGTGGTAAACAACCTGCTTCCCTATTTATAATGGTCTGGCCCTCTAGCAACTTCAGCGCAAAATTATAGCTAATTTGCCTACAAACGTCAGGTGGTCATAATAATCTGGCCGCTCAGTGTGTATAATATATCTATCTGTGGAACCAACACACATTGCAATTATCAATAAACTTGACTATAATAAAAATAAAAGTACAGATTCTCTTTTAAAGCCCTGTTCCTATTTTCAGTAATGGACGGTGATCTTGGTTACAGACATTCTCATACCTGGTCTCGGTTAAGCTGGTCCTGTGTGGAGTTGAAGTTACAGGTGAATTTCCACTCCGATTGGGCGTCATACCATTCAGCGTTCGTCCGTTATTAGTTAGTTGCTTTTTTACTGGCGTTTCATCCTTGGTGTCAAAGCTCACTCTTTTAGTAGGAGTCTTATAGGGACAAAAAAAAAAAAGTATTTTTCTAAAATGTTCAGAACCTGCTTACTGTAACTACAGTACACTCAATGTTTAAAATGGACCTCTACACTCAAAAATTCAATTCTACCAATGCATCTCTCTATGCAAGACGATTAATAATAACAGACATATCAGGTGTAAAATGCTGTGCTTGTGAAATTGTTACACTTGCAGACCATTCACTTCCTTCTTTGAAAAGGCAAAATGACTTCAGTTTGCCAAAGCAATGCACACTGGGATTGCCCTGTCATCAGGAGAGCATTGCTGGGAAATCTCATCTGAAATCAAATCTCAGGGAAATACATTTTCCTCCCCTGAGATGATGTGCATGGTCACATGTCCCAGCCACATGCGTCAGAAATCAGGAAGTAAAAAGGAGATCTAGTAATCTGCCCTTAGTAAACATGGCCATTGTCAGAAGACCGGGGAAGAAAAAGAGAAACAAGGTATGCAAAGAACAAAACAAACATTTCTAAAAGGTGCCTTTGTTGTCATTTTAAAGATATGGGTAAAGGTCCACTTTAAGAGTAAGGACACCATGTCTAAAAACTGCCTACACACAAATGGCAATATAGCTACTGCATCTAAAACAGGAATCATGTGCATTTAAAAAAACAAAAACGCCTGCATACCTGACTTTGGAGGTTGGTTAAAGGTCTGTTGCTGTCTCGCTGGGCGCTTCTGTTTCCCAGGATGCCACCGAAACTTCCAGATCCTTGAACTGGTTTTACTGGGAAAATATTACATTTATGAATGAAGGATAACTGCGCAGTCACTCTGTAGAACTAATTGTAAAAAAAAAGATGGCGGCTATAGCAGCTGTGAGTTTGCTTTAACCCCGTCAGTGCAATAAAAGGGACATAAAGGTGTGACCATAGCCATAAGTGTAAAATAGCTGCACCAAATAAACACAATACCAATACATTAAAAAAAAAACAAACATGTAAAAACGACACTGCCCCTCCACTAATGAGGATCACTCTTACCTGTTGGAGTCTTATCATGACTGAGGGCCTCTAGAAAGTGTTTCAGTTCCTCGGCATCTTTGCTCGCAACCTTATCAATCGTGAGTGAGCTGGTATCCTTCAGCGTAACCAATAACCTGCTTTGTTTCACTCCGGCTGGCCGCAAAACAACATTTTTAATGTTCTGATGGAGCTAATAAGTTAAAACGGAACAAAATCGTCAGTTATTTCTCCGTAGCATTAAAATAAACGAACAGCTCTGCAACGTCATGAAATCATTCCTTTGTGCCAACTCCCATTGTCTGAAAGGTTGTTTCACTTTCATAAAGGGTTAGAACATGTAGGCCTCGTTCACACCAGATGCAGTGCGTTCCGGCCTGATTCTGCCAGTGAAGTGAATGGCAACGTAGCCACACCCTTCGGCCGCAATGCGATCGGCCGCACAGTATACTTGCGGTCCGGTCCGATCAAAATAGAGCTTGCAGCATTTTGATTGGACCGGGCAGCGGACATAATGTGCCTTGCGATCCCGTGCGGCTGGGGGGGCGTGGCTATGGTGCCATTCACTTAGATGGACTGTCAAGCCCCCTCCAGCCCCACAACATAGCGAGCCGGCCGCAATGCGAGCCAGTGAGTTCTGGCCAGATTCGGGCAGGAACGCACAGCATCTGGTGTGAACGAGGCCTAAAAGATCTCCAGGAATTTTAAAACCGTAACCCTAAGTGCCTGTTCACACGACGTCCGTTTTGTGTGCTGACCGGCTCCGTACGCTGCTGCACTCAAAATGCATCCCAATGTATCCCTATGTGTTTTATAGGCTCCAGTTCTCACGTGCGCAGTCCGTTCAGTTTACGACAGAAAAAATACTGCATGTCACATTTTGTCAGGTCCGGAAACGCAAACGCGTCAAAAACTCACTGCACTGCAGCTAACATACTAACAGCCCCACTCCTTTTTTTACTTGAACGCATCAAAAATGCGGCCAAAACGCACTGCATCAGTCTGCAGATCCGCACCTGATATCATGTGAACAGGCCATTTTTTTTTTGCTGGAGTGGGGCTGTTAGTATGTTAGCTGCAGTGCGTTTTTGATGCCTTTGCGTTTCGTGCCAGCGCTGACACAGGAGGCTGAGCTCTCCACCTGCACCTCCCCGCCCAGCCTCCTGCGACAGCCAATCCAGGATGGAGAGCGGCAGTGGGCGGAGACAGCTGTCATTGCTGTCACAGGAGGCTGAGCTCTCCTCCTGCACCTCCCCACCCAGCAACATCCAATCCAGGATGGAGAGCGGCGGTGTGGGGGTGAAGACAGCTGTCACAGGAGGCTGGGCTCTCCTCCCGCACCACCCCACCCAGCCTCCTGTGACAGCGTGTCAGGAAGGAGAGCGGGTACAAGCAGTCAGTGATCGCTGAGTGTTTGTATATAATTGGAGGACAGAGTATGGTTACTATATCCCCAATTATGAATGAATGGGAAGTGATCTACATCCCCTCCTGTCCATTCATGATTGTGGATATAGTAAACACACTCTGTCCTCAGTATAGACGATTCCTGTTAAATATTTAATAAAAATGAATACAATTAAAAAGTTTATATAGTTTATAAACAACGGGAGATTTCTCCATCCACACAGTTTAGCGTAGATGGAGGAATCTGTTACACTGTTTCCACCTGACCATAGAACATCTGCAGATCACCTATAGGTGTATGGCCAGCTTTAGGCCAACCGTGACTAAAACTGGAAAACAAAATAACGTTTTGTGAATGGGGCCTACTCCGCTATCTGAAAAAAAGACAAGATGCTAACCTGAAATTTGGCCGGCACTCCACCGGCATTGAAAGTCACGACGAGGCTGTATTTGTTATCTTTCTCCACAACTTCGCAACTGCCTTCCTTCCACTTTGACGTTCCCATATTCAGGCAGTGGATCCGAATGGAGCCCCTCAGGCAAAGGGAAGCCATTTTGGTAAACTTGTACAGTTCTCAGACAACAGGCAACCTGAAGGATTAAAAGAGAAACTTCTGTTAACGTCAGGGAACAGCAGCAGTAGAATCTTGTACTGTTAGCCATCGATTATTGCAGAAAGTTTGACGCCTAGGCCGTACCTTTATCTGGTTGACTGAAAGTGTCATCCAAGCTCGCTCCCGGGATGGACTACAGTCTCATGTTTAGTTTACTGATTTGTATTGAGGTTGTAGTCCATCCCGGGAGCTAGCTTGGAGCGGTGACTACTTTACAACACACACAGGGACCATACGTAGCCACCCTCCAGAAGGAAGGACAGTGTCAGCACCAATTCAGAGATGATTGGAGGATCTACAGCCGAGCGATACACAAATAACTAGGGATGCACTGATACCGGTTTTTCGTACTAATATTTTTTTTTTCAGGTACTCGCCGATATCAAGAACCAGTGCCCAGATTATCAGGAAGTCAAGCGGAGTATCATGATGCGTCGTCCAGCTTCCTAACTGGCTGTGAAGCTGCTGTTCCAGCGAAAGAACACTGGCTTAATTTGCCGAAGCTGTCTGACCAATCAGGAAGCTGGGCGGCGGGTCATGAGGCTTCCTCAGTCAGAAAAGCAGGCTGCCTAGCAACAAGTGAAGCCAGCTTCCTACCCAATCAGGAAGCCTGGCGGCACGCCATGCCCCTCCTCCCTGGTTGGATAAGAAGCCGGCATCACTTGTTGCTTGGCAGCGTGGCTTCCTGAGAGGGAGATCTCCCTCTCCGACTGCAAGTGTCAAGGGAGCATTAAGCCGGCTTCCTTTCCAATCAGGAAGCCGGGACGCAAGTCAGGACCTGCCTCCCTGATTGGCTAGCAAGCTGGCTTCACTTGTTCCTAGGCAGCCTGCCTTCCTGACCAATCAGTAAGCCGGGAGGCGAGTCATTACGTGCCACCCGGTGTTCTATCAAAGTTTGTGACTGCGTTAGAATGCGTGACTAGTGACGTGATCACACATTTTAACATAATCCCGCCCAGTTTTTCGGTGGTGGAATGTGTGACCGGTCACACATTCTAACATAGTCACAACCATTTTTTCCCGGTGTTAAAATATGTGACCGGCAAAAGGTGTAGAATTCAAAGCTTTTTCAGCTGTTCCAGGGCAGATCGGCATCGCAGATGGTATGTGCTGCAGGAGAACCGATCTGTCCTGGAACAGCTGATCGGTCCTGAAATGTCACTTCTGTCCGACTTTGTGACTGCGATCTGACATTCCACAAAGTCGGACAGAAGTGGCATTTGAGGACTGATCAGCTGTTCCAGGACAGATCGGTTCTCCTGCAGCACATACCATCTGCGATGCCGATCTGCCCTGGAACAGCTGAAAAAGCTTTGAGTTCTACATCTTTTGCGGGTCACATATTTTAACACCGGGTAAAAAAATGGGCGTGATTACGTTAGAATGTGTGACCACGTGGCCGGTCACACATTCCAACCCTGTCACAATCTTTCCAGACTGGAAAGGAAGCCGGCTCCATGCTCCCTTGACACTTGCAGTCAGAGAGGGAGATCTCCCTCTGACCGGAAGTTCCGATATCGAAGCATTTGGGGGAGTATAAGTACTCGCCCCAAATACCCGGTATCGGCCCCTATACTAGTATCGGCGCATCCCTACAAATAAGATACATTGTTATTAGGGATGTCCCGATACCGGTACTAGCATCGGTATCGGGACCGATACAGGGCATTTTGACAAGTACTTGTCAAAATGTCCCGATACGTAGCGCCGAAGTTTGCGCTATTTTTGATTTCCTTTCCGGCTGCTGTTCGGTAGAACAGTGGCGAGTCAGCACTGGTCCGGTTGGAGGAGCTCCAAGTGGGGTCCTAATTTAGCTGGCAGGTGAACGGGCAGTCGCCAGCCAGCTAAATTAGGACAAGTTCATGTTAGCAGGGCACAAGCTGAGCACCGAGATGCGATGCAGCGATCCTGCCCAGCACCGACTAAGAGAGGCACCGCGTGAGGCTACGGGGATCGGAGTGAAACTGTGAGTAAGGGAAGCTGGGACGGGGCTGGCTGTAAATCTATTGCTATAGTGTACTGGACGTGTGTAATGTATATGTAGTACATATATACAGCACACACCTCCACTACACTCCAGCAATAGTTACAATTCTCCACTGCTAACATGAATAGGTTAAACCATGATCCATAGTATAGAACATGTAGTTGTACTATGGATCATTTAAAGTCACCTGTCCCTTTAAATAAATTAAAAAAAAAGTATCGGTAAGTACATGAGGGGAAGTACTTGTACTTGGTCCTGAAAAAGTGGTATCGGGACATCGCTAATTGTTATTCATAGTTAAGGAACTTGAATTTATTTTTAAGGTTTAATGCCGGAGTTTAGCGTCACTTTAAAACCAAAACGTCATGTAGAATACACGATTGCCAAAAGAACAGGAAAATAATCCTCCACCTGGCACAGAGCCGAACAAACAGGGAAATATTCTGGATTGCTGGAGTACATTTACAATGCTGAACAGATCCGATGTCACGCTGGGTCCTGGTACCGTCTATACAGTAGTCACAGCTCTACGACTGCTGGGGGCTTGTGACTTCCCTGCAGCTGGAGGTGTTAGTAGGCGGGTCTCTACTTTTATTTCCTTTCCACCTACAGAGATCCGTAGTATTCTGACTCTTGTAGTTCCCCTATGAAAAAATCAGGAGATACTCTGTCCAGGTACAGATGATGCTGGGCGACTTAGTCCTACGCTAAAGCAGAACTCCGATCACAAGGAAGATAGAAAGGAACAATCCAATAAAGTAACAAAACCAGCTCCTGCTGCCGTATTTACCTCTAATCCAAAGAGGAACCTGCAGTGACGGTCCCTGCCACTAGATGGCCTCAGTCTGATGGTCAACCCACTCCCCCTGAGCCCAGGTCATCCTGGAACCCCCCCTTCCCCATCAGCCTATCACTGGTCACTGAAACCATGTTGGGTCTTGTAGTTCCCTCTATGGTGAGATGTCAGGGAACACGCTGGGTCTTGTAGTTCCCTCTACGGTGAGGTGTCAGGGGACACGCTGGGTCTTGTAGTTCCCTATACGGTGAGGTGTCAGGGGACACGCTGGGTCTTGTAGTTCCATCTACGGTGAGGTGTCAGGGGACACGCTGGCTCTTGTAGTTCCATCTATGGTGAGGTGTCAGGGGACACGCTGGCTCTTGTAGTTCCATCTATGGTGAGGTGTCAGGGGACACGCTGGCTCTTATAGTTCCATCTATGGTGAGGTGTCAGGGGACACGCTGGCTCTTATAGTTCCACCTATGGTGAGGTGTCAGGGGACACGCTGGGTCTTGTAGTTCCCTCTACGGTGAGGTGTCAGGGGACACGCTGGGCCTTGTAGTTCACTCTATGGTGAGGTGTCAGGGGACACGCTGGGTCTTGTAGTTCCATCTATGGTGAGGTGTCAGGGGACACGCTGGCTCTTGTAGTTCCATCTATGGTGAGGTGTCAGGGGACACGCTGGGTCTTGTAGTTCCCTCTACGGTGAGGTGTCAGGGGACACGCTGGGCCTTGTAGTTCCATCTATGGTGAGGTGTCAGGGGACACGCTGGGTCTTGTAGTTCCCTCTACAGTGAGGTGTCAGGGGACACGCTGGCTCTTGTAGTTCACTCTATGATGAGGTTTCAGGGGACACGCTGGGTCTTGTAGTTCCCTCTATGATGTGTCAGGGGACACGCTGTGTCTTGTAGTTCCCTCTATGGTGAGATGTCAGGGGACATGCTGGGTGTTGTAGTTCCGTCTATGGTGAGGTGTCAGGGAACACGCTGGGTCTTGTAGTTCCGTCTATAATAAGATGTCAGGGAACATGCTGGGTGTTGTAGTTCCGTCTATGGTGAGGTGTCAGGGAACACGCTGGGTCTTGTAGTTCCGTCTATAATAAGATGTCAGGGAACATGCTGGGTGTTGTAGTTCCGTCTATGGTGAGGTGTCAGGGAACACGCTGGGTCTTGTAGTTCCGTCTATAATAAGATGTCAGGGAACATGCTGGGTGTTGTAGTTCCGTCTATGGTGAGATGTCGGTGGACATGCTGGGTGTTGTAGTGCCGTCTATGGTGAGGGGTCAGGGAACACGCTGGCTCTTGTAGTTCCGTCTATGGTGAGATGTCAGGGGACATGTAGTTCCGTCTATGGTGAGGGGTCAGGGGAAATGCTGGCTCTAGTAGTTCCGTCTATGGTAAGATGTCAGGGGACATGCTGAGTGTTGTAGTTCCGTCTATGGTGAGATGTCAGGGGACATGTAGTTCCGTCTATGGTGAGGGGTCAGGGGAAATGCTGGCTCTAGTAGTTCCGTCTATGGTAAGATGTCAGGGGACATGCTGAGTGTTGTAGTTCCGTCTATGGTGAGATGTCAGGGGAGACGCTGGCTCTTGTAGTTCCGTATATGGTGAGATGTCAGGGGACATGCTGAGTATTGTAGTTCCGTCTACGGTGAGATGTCAGCGAATATGACGCACCTGTAGCTCCCCTCACTTCGCACTATCAGCAGGCATGAAGCCGAGGTCGGTCCCCTCCTCCCCCAAATTCCTAGGGCCCCTACCGCCACACTCACTCACCTAGCAGGGCCCCGGGCCCGGCTCCTCAGCCTGTCACACAGCGCACGATTTGGCGGGAAGCTAGCGATCTTCTCAGCACAGGAGCGAACGTCACACTCAGAGGCGGAGCGACGTTTCCTGCGTCTGACATCACCGCGCCGCGCACTTCGATGACGTCAGCGCGGATCACCAGTTTCATTCTAAGTTTATTTCGGCATGCCGTTTTGTTTGTCCGGCCTGCGCGGAATTCTCCGGGGGCAATTCGCCGGCGGGGCTGCGTTATAGAAGAGTGTATTTGAACGGATTGAAAGGAGTCCCAGGGCAGGGGTGGTCACGTGGGACGGTGACATCAGCGGAAGGGGACGGGCGCCGGTTGTTGTTGGAGAGAAGAGGCGGAGGAAGCGGGCCGGTAGAGACAAGAGCCTGGGGGAGGCTCCGAATATGCACAGCCTGGCCACGGCGGCGGTACGTGAGGCCCTCAGAGGGGAAAACCTTCAACAGGGCATTCTCGGAGAGCCCTTCAAGGGGGGGCCTGAGGGGGCAAATGGTGGAGAGGTGTCATAAGGCTCAATTCACTGCCCTAATATCACTGTCTGACATAACGAGCGGTATTGACCGTAAAAGGAACCAATGCAAGCCGAGAATTGTCAAATTAATAGAAATAATTACTGTAACCGATAACATATGGAGGGATAGGTCAGTGAATGACATCTGTGAAGTCCCGAGATAGGGAGACCCCCCTGAGGAGAAGAGAGTGAGACCCCCCTGAGGAGAAGAAAGGGAAGGAGACCCCCTGAGGAGAAGAGAGGGAGGGGAGGTAGACCCCCTGAGAAGAGGGGGAGGGAGACCCCACCTCCCGTGAGAAGAATAGAGGGAGACCCCACCTCCCGTGAGGAGAAGAGAGGGAGACCCCACCTCCCGTGAGGAGAAGAGAGGGAGACTCCACTTCCCGTGAGGAGAAGAGAGGGAGACCCCACCTCCCGTGAGGAGAAGAGAGGGAGACCCCCCCTGAGGAGAAGAAAGGGAGACCCCACCCCCTGAGGAGAAGAGGGGGAGGGATACCCCCTGAGAAGAGGGGGAGGGAGACTCCCTGAGTAGAAGATTGCCCCCCCAGGAGAAGATGGGGAATACCCCCTGCCCCAAGGAAAAGATTGGGAGACCCTTCAGGAGATATATAAATCTGATGGGGAGGCTCCATGGTCATTCTAGAGGTGACCCTGGAGAAGAGGATGGGAGACCCCTAAGAAGATCCTGGGAGATTCTAGATTAGGCACAAAGATACCACCGTGGAGACCCTCGAGTACTTCTATAGAGACCCCTGTGTAATGGTGGATGGAGATCCTCTGAAGACATAAAGGGACCCCTGAGAAAGGAGTTCCTCACAGAGACCCCTGAGGAGCGAGGACAGGAGACCCCCCCTCAGTCTTTATATAGAGCCCTCTGAGGAAGTGGCAGCTGGGGATCCTCTTAGGATGTCTGAAGAGACGCCTGAGGAATGAGAGACGGGGAGAATATCTTTGAGGAGAAATATATAGAGACACTTGAGGAAGGTGGCGCATGGAAACCTTAAGGAATAAACACAAAATCTGGAGCAGATTTGCACTGCAACCAATCAGCTTCTCTGTCTCATTTTCAAATCTTACCTGAGCAAACTGAAGAGAGATGCTGATTGGTGACCCTGGGCAACTGCTCGGGATTCTGTCTGCTCCAGTTTTGATAAATTCCCCCCATACAGAATTCCCCTGTATGGGGGGAATTTATCAAAACTGGAGCAGCTGTGCATGGCAACCAATCAGCTTCTCTCTTTCATTTTCAAATCCTAACTGAACAAACTGAAGAGAGAAGCTGATTGGTTGCCATGGACAACTGCTCCAGATTCTATCTGATCCAGTTCTGATAAATTCCCCCCCAGTGTCTACAGGTGAAACTCGAATAATTAGAATATCGTGCAAAGTTCATTTATTTCACTAATGCAACTTAAAAGGTGAAACTAATATAAGAGAGAGACTCATTACATGCAAAGCAAGATAATTCAAGCCGTGATTTGTCATAATTTGTGATGATTATGGCTTACAGCTCATGAAAACCCCAAGAACCCCAAATCCACAACCTCAAAAAAGTAGATTATTACATGCAATCAATAAAACAAGGATTGTACATAGAACAATATCGGACCTCTGAAAAGTACAAGCATGCATATGTACTCAGTACTTGGTTTGGGCCCCTTTTGCAGCAATTACTGCAATTACTTTTGCACGATATTCTAATTATTCGAGTTTCACCTGTAATTACCTTTTCTGGACAAATAATATTTCTTGTTGCCTATCCGTCTCTGATTTCTCACCATGTTGGATTTTTTTTATTTTTAGAATTCTGTTTCTAATCATTTTTGTATTTCCGTTTGCAGCCAGTGCCAGCAGCACTCGCCCCCGTAGACAGAGAAAAGATTTATCAGTGGATCAATGAATTGTCAAGCCCAGAAAGTCGGGAGAATGCTCTGTTGGAGCTTAGCAAGAAGCGGGAATCTGTCCCAGATCTCGCCCCTATGCTGTGGCATTCATTTGGTACTATTGCAGCACTGTTACAGGTTTGTTCCTTTTATATCCCCACTGTGTATTCCAGCACGTTTCAGTGCAGAACGCTGACATCATTCTTACAGCTACACCAATAATTCCACCTCACATTTTACTCTTGCCCAGTATTATATTCTAGTTTCGGTAACATAGATTTGTTGGTGTTAGTTATACTGTATCATTGGTTCCTAAACTTCTATTATCTTCCTGAGGTTTCCCTTATCTAAGTGTGATCTGTAATCATTCCTTTTGGAACAGAATCTGTGCAGGCTTTATAGCAGGGGTGGGCCACTCTGGCCCTGCAGCTGTTGTGGAACTACAAGTCCCTTGAGGCATTGGAAGACTGACCGTTACAGTCATGACTCCCAAAGGCGTGTTGGGATTTGTAGTTTAAGCACAGGTGGAGGGCCGGAGGTGCTCACTCCTGCTTTATGGGCTACCATCCCTACACTGTGATGGGTATGTCTCACAGCTGTACATGCGAATGCAACCACGTGGGTTAAGAAGTCTTAAAGGAGAACTATGAGGTGAGTGCTTTTCACTCACCTCATAGTTCTAGCCGACCTGTGAAGAGAATTATTATTATTATACAGGATTTATATAGCGCCAACGGTTTGCGCAACGCTTTACAATATAGGGAAGACATTACAGTTACGATACAATTCAAGACAAGATGGTAAGGAGGGCCCTGCCCCTGAGGGCTTACAATCTAAGAGGGATACATGAGGTAGGTAGCTGTGTGGGGATGAATTGTTTGAGAACGTGATGGTTCAGTGGTTAGTTTGAGGTGGGATAGGCTTCACTGAAGAGATGAGTCTTTAGGGATCGCCTATAGGCAGTCAGAGTAGGAGATAGACTGGTTGGGGTAAGGAGTTCCAAAGAATGGGAGAGACTCTAGAGAAGTCCTGGAGGTGAGCATGGGAGGAGTTGATGAGTAAGCTAGATAGCAGGATTATAGGGAGAGTGAAATACACTCATCCCTGTAATTGGAGCTGAAATTAGACACTGAAGCTGTTACACGTGGGCTCTATTGATCGAGAACTGAGCGATTACATACTGCTGATCACTCAGTTCACGATCTTCTCCATGCAGAGAGGCTCCCCGCAGGCATTCCCCTCTCCGTTCCATCAGCACTGACTAGAGGGAGGATAGACGGAGGAAGGGGCAGGCTCAGCTGTCTCTGCCTCCAGGGAGACAGAACCATCTGTCAGTCGGGTAGCGGGGTGGATCCTGACAATATCGGCAGGAACCGCCCTTGTTGCAGCCCGGTGTTCTGTCTATAGTAAAAACTTATCGAGTTCTGGGACCGCATGACTTCCGGTTTCCTTAGAACTACGACTTTTGGGCACGAAATTTGTTGTGCACGAGCGGCATTGCCCTATACACATACACGAAAGCAATAAAGTAATAAAATGAAGTGGGATCAGAATAATCAAGCACGTTATTTATCTCCGGTGCCCCACTCAATATGGCCGCCGCTTGAGTGGGGCACCGGAGATAAATAACGTGCTTGATTATTCTGATCCCACTTCATTTTATTACTTTATTGCTTTCGTGTATGTGTATAGGGCAATGCCGCTCGTGCACAACAAATTTCGTGCCCAAAAGTCGTAGTTCTAAGGAAACCGGAAGTAATGCGGTCCCAGAACTCGATAAGTTCGACCTTTCGATCGATCACCGGCTCTGCGCTTTCAGCATATAGCAAGCAATAGCCTGCTATATGCTGAGTTTTTGGGTCACAGGAGGACATTAGTTTAAGTCTTCCTGTGACCCTAAAGAGAACTATGGCAAAAAAAGGTTGGGCCATAGTTCTCTTTTAAGCTGGCCATACATTATGCAAATGTTGTCCGGTTCTTCTCTGCACATTTTATCTTTTATTTCTTTCTTGTTACATTTTTATATTTTTGATTTCTCGTGTGAATGATGATAAATCCACTGAATATATTCTTGTGTTTCTGCAGGAAATTGTAAATATCTACCCATCAATAAACCCTCCTACCCTGACAGCACATCAATCCAATCGAGTGTGTAATGCACTGGCCTTGCTACAATGTGTGGCATCGCACCCGGAAACCAGGTAGGACTTGGACACCCGTGATCAGATAAAAAAAAAATTTTTTACAGATGGAATTCACATGTGGGAGCTGACAAAGAATTTGTATTTCTGTCCATCTGGTCCTGATACACAGCTCTTCCACACAGCACAGCCCTATCTGGCAACACAGGAGACCTGATTTTTTTCTGTTGCATGTAAAGTGTCATTAAACCCTCAGATTTTGTAACATAAAACAATACTGTAATGTGCGCCTTACTGTAATCCATGGTAGTTTCCCTTCTCTTTGCTGCTCTTCTTTTTAAATCTGTATCTGTTCTCATGCTGGGCAGAACTTCTGTTTTGCAGCAGACTGCCTTGTCTCAGGAATGGATACACGGTGTCTGTGTATCCGTTTGCATAGGCTTGTAACCTGAGCCAGCACTACAGGAAGAGGCCCTGAGCTCAAAAGGGAAGTTCTGCAGAGCATGAGAACACATGAGGATTTAAAAGGAAGAGCAGCAAAGAGAAGGGAAACAACCATGGATTACAGTAAGGCGCACATTACAGTATTGTTTTATGTTAAAAAATCTGAGGGTTTAATGTCACTTGAAGTAACACTTACAGGTCTTGTCCCTCCCCCACCCAAGTGACTGGGCAGTGAAAAGAGAAGCAGCAGACTGATGAGCTTGTGTGTCTGTCACTCTGCTCTTATCTCCTATCGGTTGCTTGATACCTTGTCAAATTCAGTTGCTTGCAGTGCTCATATGTAAACAATATAATTTCATGATGTATGAATGATTACAGATTACAGCCCCACCCTGGGCACAATTGATCTTTTCAAGTGCAGTAGGCAAATATTAGAAATTGTTGATCCATTTACTTTTGAGAAGAATCCTTTCCATACAATCAAGGTCACTGCTCACAGGCTCTTTGGCTATAATTTCCTAAAGACACCTTTCTCATGGCAGTGTGACCGGGCCTATCACCACCCCTGTGTAGTTCCAGGGTTCTTTGGCTGATGTCATCTGGTTAGTGTGGATCATGCGGTGCACCAGAAATCATGCTATGCGTCTATTAGGTGGTGACAGAGCACAGGATTAGTTCCCACTGACACCTTGCTCAGGCCTGACCTGGTAACACCCTACCGTGAACTAACATTAATATTATTATTATACAGTATTTATATAGGGCCAACAGTTTGCGCAGCGCTTTACAATATAAGGAGGACATTACAGTTACAATACAATTCAAGACAGGATGGTAAGGGGGTCCCTGCCCCTGAGGGCTTACAATCTGAGTAGTTTCCTGCAGGCCAAGCAAAGATAGTGAGAAATTATGTGTGGCGCAACTGTATGCCTGCCCACATGGCCCAGGGTAACAGATAGAAACGTCTGGGTGATGTCACAGGTACTGGTACCGTGGGGTCTTTTTGTGCATTTGACCAAAGGCATTGTTGGTAATTGGATAGAGTGGAATGTTTGTGTATGGTAAAGTGCCCGAACTTTAATTCCAGTCAGTTATAATATTGTAAAAATCTGAATATATTTTTACCTTCAGACTGATGCAAAAATCAAAGTTATACTTCTGTTTGATCCTACAGTAAACTTAACAAAAAAGGGGGTTTGTTGTCTTTTCTTAAAGCATTTTTAGGTTCTAACTCCTTTTATCTTTTTGTTCCAGATCTGCCTTTCTTGCAGCACATATTCCATTGTTCTTATATCCTTTCCTGCACACTGTCAGCAAAACTCGGCCTTTCGAATACCTGAGGCTGACCAGCCTGGGAGTAATTGGTAAGTTCACCGGTATCTTGATTACAAACGGAGGAAGATACATTTACATGGATATATCACTAGGGTGTAGTGGAGGAGGAGATCCAGGGTCCCTAGATCTTATTGAACGGTTTCATATTCCCTCTAAGCCACGAGTGGACAAATTAAAGGGAAATTCAGGAGCCAGGAGGATTCCTTTTATGATCCAGCTCCATTGACAACAACTAGAGAATCTCCAAAAGGTAGGCACCAGGTATAATTTTTTAAGGAGCATTGGCTTCCTGGTTCCTGGGATTTGTCCAGTCCTGCTGTAGGCTTATATGTGAGTTTGTGGAGCGGTGGATTGGTATCGATCATTAAAGTCAATCTGCCAGGGAGGGAGGTGAGGTCTTTTTCCACTTAAGAATCAATTTCCTCATATAGAATAGTAGGAATCCAAGAAGCTTTTTAGTGGGTTGTATTGAGCAAACCATCTTCCAATAGGTCCAGCAAACACATTGTGGGGTTACAGTTATTGGGTATTGCAAGCTGACATTCCACGCAAGGCAATAACCTCTGACCAGAAAGTGCGGATACAGTCGCAGTCCTCTGGGTGTGGATCAGGCTCTCAACCCTTAAAGCACAGGGGGGTAGATTTAATTGGATGATTTCACCCACCAGCATCCATGCATGACTAAAATAGAAGTTGTGGATGACCTTTGCCTTTTAAATTAGTTCTTATTTTATTGTTTCAGAGTGTCGCAGTGCTCCTGGGATATGAAGATATAGATCCTGATTTAATTTGTGTGTATCTGAATGTTCTATGGCCAAGTTTAATAACCGTCTCATGTTTTACTGTTGGTAACAGGAGCTCTGGTGAAAACAGATGAGCAAGAGGTCATCAATTTCCTGCTGACTACAGAAATTATCCCACTGTGTCTGCGTATTATGGAATCTGGAAGTGAACTTTCTAAAACTGTAAGATTTCCTTTCCTCCTCTTTATCTCTATTAAGAGCAATTGTTATTTTCCAACAATTAGGCGCTTCACTCTCGTGTTTATGGCCAATGGCTTCTTCCTGTCTCCTGTCTGTAACTGAAAGTCGAAGGTGCCTCCTCATTAAGACTTCATCTGCCTGTGCAGCGATTATAGACTGCGCTGCCTTCATATTTTACGATGGCCGTGCTGTTATCTTCCATCCGCATGTCACACTCTAATAACATATTATGTGCTTTACTTTTAAGGTAGCCACTTTTATCCTTCAGAAGATTCTGCTTGATGACACTGGCTTGGCCTACATTTGTCAGACCTACGAGCGCTTCTCCCACGTGGCTATGATTTTGGTATGGTTTCCTTCCTATGCTTTTTAGAGTTGAAGTATGGGCCTCAAGTGTAGACACCTCTAAAGAGTTAGCGCCCGATTTCCACTTTTCATGTGTTGAGGGGTGCTGCGTTAAGGCTCTCCAATTAGAACTGGTTGTTGGCAAATGGAAAATGGTACCTGCACTATTTGGCACATTGACACATGATACATTTTTGTCATCTGCTGCCTGTAAATACTAATGATATTTATTTGCAATATATCCTATTTACACAACTACTAAAAAATGCAAAATAATTTTTTTTAGTCGTCGTGAAGGTAATAAAACCATAAAAAATATATATATATTTATTTTTTTATACAATGTCTAATTACATGCATGGGAGTTGTTTTAGCTGCTGAATTATTTGTTTTTCTGTCCTTCCAGTCCTGAGATTTACACAGCTCTGCCACAAAACAGCTTTGTCTGGCAGTTGAGACCTGATTTCTCTCTGCTGCATTTAAGTGACACTTGGATGTCTTGTCTTGCTCCTCGGTCTGTAACTGGATAGTTAAAAAGGAGAAGCAGCAGTGGCAAAGGTAATCTCTCTGCCACTCTGCTCTCTCTCCTGCTATCAGCATACACCCTGTTGGTACATGAGCTCTGCAACACACCTGATTGACTTCTTGTATTCTGCTCCACCCACCCCTAGTCTGAGCTCTTCTGCATAGCGGCTGTAAAAGGGCAGATACCAAGGCAGATTTTTGTATTGGCACTTGTGACATTTAAAAATACATGTAATAATGTATGAATGATTATGGAGCTGCATGAATGTTATATTCAGCTTTAAATGTAGCAGGAGAGGTTGAATGTGATTGAGAATTTGTTGACTACACTGTACATCCGAGTAGCAAAGTGCTGTCCATCGGTTGCAGCACAGACTGCACTGTAGCGTGTCCTCCTGTCTGTTTTTTTAGAAATGAAGTATTTGCCTTTTGAATATTAATGTATTTCAATCTATTATTCAGGGTAAAATGGTTCTGCAGCTTTCGAAGGAGCCGTCTGCCAGACTACTGAAGCACGTTGTCCGCTGTTACCTCCGTCTGTCTGACAACCCAAGGTACGTTCTGTGATTGTGATCATATCTACAGTAAAGGATAATAGTGAAGACGATTGTCTGTTCTGACACACGTCTGTTTTGAAGATCTTTGAAGGTTCTGCATGGAAAGCTATTTTTCACTATGATGACTAAATGGGAGATTTCATGTTTACTTTTAAAGTGGATCTCCAGTCCAAATTTATTTTTTCTTTAACTGTGTGGAAAGAACCCCCCTTCATCTGTCACCAGGACTGAAAGGGAGGGAAATCCCACTATTTACTGCTGTCACTGAAACAGGAAGTAGGAGAGACACCATAGGAGCAGACTCGATACACCACTTAGTCGTTTTCTGACATCACTCCTTCGTGTTATTACTTTCCCGATGTGGCACCTGTCCCGCTGATGACTCTCAATGTTCCGATCACTTTGGGGAGATTTACGGTTCTTGTTCTGCCTTCAGAACAGGAAGTGAGGGAAGATCTCCCCAACAGGGACACGGCACCTAAAACGCGACCATTTCTAACCGTTCCATACTCGGCTCAGAACAATCAAAACCGCTTTCTCCATATGGTTGAGAACAGGGAGTCTGCTTCCTAAATGTACAGAAAAGACGATTGAGAGGAAATCTACAGTCTCAGTATGAAATACTAAAAGGTGAAAAGCAGCTTAAAAATTAGTTAAAGGAGAACTATGAGGTGAATGATTTTCACTCATCCCCATAGTTAGAGCCGACCTGTGACATTGAAAAAGTCACACGTCGGCTCAATAGATCGGGAAGTGAGCGAACACATACCGTCGCTCGCTCACTTCCTGATCATCTCCCTGCAGACTGTCAGTCACGGCTCCCCGCAGGGATTCCCCCCTCCCCTCTATGATTCTCCAGCGCTGACTGCCTCTGGATAGGCAGAACCAGCTGTCAATCAGCCAGCTGGGAGAATCTCGACAGTAATGTCGGGATCCGTTCCGGCTGCGGCGCTCTCAGTATATGGTGAGCTGCAGCTCGCTATATACTGAGCTTTGGGTCATGGGAGGAGGTTAGTATATGTCCTCCCGTTACCCTGAAGAGAACTATGGGATAAAAAGGTTACCTCATCATTCTCTTTTAAGGAAAATAACCCAAAATGTGTATTATTTATTGGTTGGTCTTCTTTTTTTCTTTCTTCTTTCAACCTAGCTATGTATATGGGCAAATGCTTGAGTTCTGTTACTTCCAGTGAAGGGAACTGTTTAGACACTTTAGACAATTATGTGCAACTTCTGGCTGCAGTTGGGTGAAGAGCCTTTTCTGTTCCAGCATGACTGGTCCCTGTGCACAAAGACAGCTCCATAAAGACATGGGTTTGATGAGTTTGCTGTAGTGGGACTCGAGTGCTCTGCACAGAACCTTGACTCCAACCCTACTGAACTCCTTTTAGGATGAATTGGAACGCTGAGCATGGTCTTACCTAGGGATGCACAAATATATCGGCCGCCGAAACATATCGGTCGCAAATGGCACTTTTGGCTAAATGCGGAAAGTGCCATTTTCCTGCCGATACATCGGCGCATCCATGATTTCTTTCCTCCCCGCTCGGTGCTGCTCTGTGTCCCAGTGGGGAGGAGAGAAATTGACAGCCGGCCGAGCGCTGCGGGAGGAGAGCGATGTGAGCGGCCAGTGTCTCTCCAGTGTCTCGCCACACCGCTCGGCCGCTTATCACAGTGCAGCAGGGCGGTTTGGGGGCAGAGACAGCCAGCACTGTCACAGGAGGCTGGGCTCTCCTCTCGCACCGCTCACTCAGCCCCCTGTGACAGTGTGTCAGAAAGGAGAGCGGGTACAAGCAGTCAGTGATCAGTGATCGCGGAGTGTTTGTAGATATTTGAGGACATGGTATGGTTACTATATCCTCAATTATGAATGAATGGGAAGTGATCGACATCCCCTCCTGTTCATTCATGATTGTGGTTAAAGTAAACATACTCTGTCCTCATGTTATCAATGATCAGGAACACTCAGTATAGAGGATTCCTGTTCATTGATAACAGGGGACACAGAAAAAGAGATTGAGGACTTTGTGTCCTCGATCTCTTTTTCTATTTTTAAAGGGAAATATCAGGGGTCTGTTTAGACCCCCAATATTTCCCCGAAGCCCCTAAAAGTAAAAATATTTAATAAAAATGAATACATTAAAAAAATTAAAAGTTTATAAAAAAACTAAAATATTTAAAAAATTTGGAAAAATAAAAACATTTTCGGTATCAGTTTCGGCCTGACAATTGTTTTTATTTCGGTTTCGTTTCGGTTTTAAAATTTCTATTTCAGTGCACCTCTAGTCTTACCCACCATCAGCACCCGACCTCACAAATGTTCTTTTGGCTAATTGGACACAAATTCCCATAGACGCTCCACAAAGAGGAGATATGGGGTGGGAGGTTGGGAGATACAAATGTTCATGGTTATGGATTGGGATGTCCAACAAGCCCATACGGGTGTCATGGTTAGGTGCTTACAAAGTTTTGGTGATATAATGGATGTGTTACTATAAAGTTTTGAGTATGCTTATTATACATTCACTATATACATCTTTAGTACGGTATGGAGAACTTGAACACGTTTTTTTTTTTCCTTTAATTTTGTATTGCAGAGCACGAGAAGCATTGCGGCAATGTCTGCCTGACCAGCTGAAAGACACAACCTTCGCACAGGTCCTGAAGGATGACACCACAACCAAACGCTGGCTGGCTCAGCTTGTTAAGAACCTGCAGGAGGGGCAAGTCACTGACCCAAGAGGAATACCGCTCCCTCCTCAGTGACCCATCGGCAAAGGAAAACCAGACACAGCTGCACCACACAAACGCATCGCAAATGCACTTGGACTTTTCAGATGTGGATTCCTAACCCGTCAGCGTCACAGCCTCACAAATGGACAATTTCTCTTAACCATCTGCACCACCCGCAGCTCTTCAGAATAAAGGACTCTAGTCTTTCCTCCAGCAAGATAATTCTATTGCAGAGGCTGAACTGTAAGAAAATGTTGTTCTTGTTGATCAAGAGTTTAATGCTTAAATAATATCCAGGTCTCTGGACATTGGAGAGCTCTCTCTTTCTTTTTGTACTGTTCACAGAATAACACTTGGTCCAGTCACAGTCCTTCTGGAGTTTTAGCTGCAGCACACTGGGCCAAAGCACGCTCCATCCCACTGCCTGTTTTCCCTTCTACGATTCTTCCAGAGCTTGTAGCTGTGTCTGAATTTTGGATATAATAAAAGTTTTATATTTTCAGTCCGTAGCTGTTGAAATACACAATGCACTCGTTTTACAGCAATCTTTCCAAATAATAATAAAAAAAAAAGGACTTCTTCTTGCAGGCAAATGCAATTCTTTACTTGTTTGTGGTTTTTAAAGCTGAACTTCAGCCTTTCCTTTAAAGCGGACCTTTACACTCAAAAATCAAATTCTAACAATGCATCCCTCTATGTATGATAATAATAACAGAGACATGTCAGGTGTAAAATGCTGGGATTGTGAAATACTTAAGCTGGCCATACACCTTACAACCATCGCGCGGCTTTCGTTGTGCGATGGTTGTAAGGTTATTAAAAGCTCGTACGATCTGCCCATCTTGTACAGGCAGATCGTACTTGAGATCATCGCAAGCCCGCCCCCCTGAGGGGCGGGCTTCCGATGATTCCAATGCTGAGCAGGCAGTGTGCGCTTGCGCACACCGGCCCGTTCCACATTTGTCTTCCGAGCACGCCACAAACCCGCGGCGGGTTTTCAAGCGTGCTCGGAAGACAAAAGACGTGCGACCGTACAGTAGAAACTGTTGCACGCCTTCCATACACCTGCTAAATATCGTACGATGGCGGGATCACCCGTGATTATTGTACGATAATCGGCAGGGGTATGGGCACCTTTTACACATGCAGACCATCTACTTCCTGCTTTGAAAAGGCAAAATGACTTCAGTTTGCTAAAGCGATGCACACTGGGATTGCCTTGTCATCAGCAGAGCATTGCTGGGAAATCTCATCTGTAATCTCAGGGAAAGACATTTTCCTCCCCTGAGATGATGTGGATGGTCACATGTGCCAGTTTTTCAGGAAGTAAATGGAGAGCTAGTAAACATGGCCCTTAGTAAACATGGCCACTGTCAGAAGACTGGGGAAGAAAAGAGAAAAATAAGGAATTCAATGAATACAAAGCCGGCAATTATCTAGAAGTATGTGATTGTATACTGTCATTACTGAACATTTCTAAAGGTGTCTTTGTTGTTATTTTAAAGGTATGGGTAAAGGTCGGCTTTAAAGGAGAACTATGGGGTCAGTGCTTTTCCCCATAGTTCTCCCCAGGGTCACGAGAGGACACAAACTAGCATCCTCATGTGACCCATAGCTCAGCATATGGCGAGCGACAGCTCGCGGTATACTGAGACGCTTCAGCCGGGACAGATCCCGACATTACTGTGGAGATCCACCCAGCTGCATGAATTGACAGCTGGCTCTGCTTATCTAGAGACAGAGCCAGCTGTACCCGCCCCATCCCCCGTCCGTTCCGCCAGTCAGCGCTGGAGAATCGGAGGGGGAGAATCCCTGCGGGGAGCCGTGAGTGACGGTCACGGCTCTCTGCAGGGATTGAGCGAGCAACGGTATGTGTTCGCTCACCTCCCGATCTATTGAGCCGACCTGTGACAGTCTCATTGTCACAGGTCGGCTAGAACTATGAGGTGAGTGAAAATCACTCACCTCATAATTCTCTTTTAAGTCTTGCACAGTTGTACCGGCTCCTCTCCTGTGCTTAAGTTAGGTACTCTGATTTCACTGCACACTGTGAGCTTTGTACAATGTGCATGAGAAACTGCAACAAGTTATCTAAAACCTGCCTATTTTCCTGGCTGTAGGACATCCATTATCATCTAGTCATTTCCTCCCCAGTCTGACTGTCCCTAGCTCACCCCATAATTCATTGGATTTTATTTCTCTGAATTATGGAGGCCCAGCATCAAATGTGGCCGTTACCTAAGATGGTCTGCATGCACGGTCTGCAAAGTCATCTTCACTTTGTGTAGATAAAATCAAGCAAAGTGATATAGACGCGGCAGACACATCCGATGTAGAGCTTTGACTGTTCAGCATCGGGCGAGCAGGCAAGCTCAATGGGGTGTTTGTCTGCCTGCTAATCCGAAACTCAGCTCATCCTGGTTGCTAGGAAGCAAGAGTCTGCCAGCATTCAAGCAACCAATGATGCATCCCCGCTGGCCTCTTCAGCTGCAGGCCGGGACATTCCCCAGCATAGCTGAATATAAACAAAGGGGTCGGCATGCTGACATCATGATTGTATATGGCCATATTTATTTAATGACATCACCAGCAACCCGCCCCTTTGTTTACATTTCAGCTGCAGGTCCAGGGAGCTGCCATTTATTGTGAGCATTCTCCAGGTGATTGTTGATGGATTTGGAGTGGGGGGGAACCATTATATTCTTTTTTTATTGTTTTAAAAAGAGGACTTGTCGAAAACGTCTTTCTTTTATGTAAATGAGCAGGGGTACTATGTACCCTGTACTCTTTCATGTTGGGTCTGGGGTGTATTTTAGGAAGGGGGGTTGTATATGCCATAAGCTGGCAGGGAAATGTATGTAATTTAACCACAATTTAAATGGCTTTTAATTTCTTAGTAAATGTCAGTGTTGCTGTAGTACCTTGCTTACATCCTACAGAGGCGCCACTTCACAGCCAGGTTTAAGGCATCCCCCAGGTAGGTTATTTAAGCCCTTCATGACTGAGGCCCTTTTTTCATTTTTTGCACCCATGTTATATTCCACATTTTAGGCCTGAAAATGACGTAAAACCCCCCAACATTATATATTTTCTGAATGCCAAGACCCTATAGAATAAAATGGTGGTAGTTGAAAATTTTTATGTTGCGCAATATTAGCGCAACTCCTTAGTACCTTACGTCTCTCCTCGTCTCCCAGCCGAAAATCCGAACTGCGCATGCGCCCGCCCCAAGATGCTTTGCGGCCTCCCGAGCAGTTTTGGATTTTCGGACGGTAGCGCGCGGCGAAGGCATCGGTAAGTTTAAAGCGGTTTTTCTTTTAAATGAAACAACAACAAAAAACCGGAGGGTTTAGAAAGCCTTTAATTTTAAAAAGTGACAGTTATTTTTTTACATTTCAAGGAATCTCTAAAAATAACTGTTACTGAGCTCAAGCTGCAGCTATATAAGGGGGCGCCCCCCCCCCCCCCCCCCGGGGG